TACACTGTCCATCTGTCCCTTCTTCCCGACCCTCTCTTTTGTCCTTTCCTCTATCATTCCCTCCCATTCTAGCTTTCTCTCTCTCTCTCTGCTCTCTCTCTCTCTCTCTCTCTCTTTCTCTCTTCTCTCTCTCTTCATCTCTCTCTCTCTCTTCTCTCTCTCTCTCTCTCTCTTTCTCTCTCTCTCTCTCTTCTCTCTCTACTCTCTGCTCCGCTTCTCGCTCTCTCTCTCGTGTGCTCTCTCTCTCACTTCTACAGGAGGTAGACTCCCTCCCCTGCCTGTGGCTGGTGCGTAGCCCACGGATGCATTTGACCCTCTCTCCCTCTCCCTCTTCCCCTCTCCCCCTCTCTACTTCCCTCTCCCCCTCTCTCTCCCATTCTATATACATTATATCTCTCTCTCTTCGCTACTACAGGACGGAGGACCGCCTCCTTCTGCCATGTCGGGGTGTTAGAGGAGGCCAGTGCGCGCCGGCGGTCAGCCCCGCTCAGCCCGCCGTAAACTCAGGAGGCCAGACGTCTGTCATAGAAGGCATTCAGCAGCAAGAAGCTGACGCTCAGTGCCAGCGGCCGCTCTGTTCGACGCCTGCCGCGCCCAGCATGTCGACGTTCAGCCTTGTATACAACCTACAGGGAGCATTCTCGAGATGTATACAACATGCAAGCGGGAACTAGCGTGGTTGACGTTCAGAGGCGCACAGCGTAAGCCTAATAGTCAACGTTTAGAAGATATATGTTACCTTACGATGTTTTAGATTTGCTACTCACTCACTTCACTCACGACGCACGCACACTCACACCCAACGCCACTCACTCAACTCCGAGTCCACACCCACCACTCACTCACTCCACTCACTCAGGAACACACTCAGGCCACACATCGGCTCACACACTCACTCACTCGCCTCATGCACTGCCCTGACTCACCTCACTCGTACATCTCACTTCGCCCACACACCCACCCACTTTCTCACTCACTCACTCACTCACTCACTCTCTCTGCTCACCCACTCACTCACTCTCTCACCCACTCTCTCATCCCACTCAATCTCTACCACTCGCTCTCGCTCACTCACTCAGCCCACCTCACACACTCCACTTCACTCACGTCACCCAGCTCACATCACTCACGTCGCCCACTCACTCACTCACCACCTGCTGCGCTCTTCTCCTCTCTGCACACGGTGTACGAGCGCTAGCTGATGCCGACTACCGGCGACACGCCCGCGCGCGACGTTGAAGACGCGCACAGCAGTTCTGCCGAGGACTTTCTCAACGCGGGCGGCCTCGGCCCTCGTCGTCAAACGTGCTGCAGCGCCGACGCCATGATCATCCGACGATCGACGTACGAGACGCGGCGAGGAAGTGTTCTGCCTCCATCCCCTGCAGCTTAGCCAGAGTGAGGTGGGAAGAAGGTAGAGCTGAACAGGTGGGTAGACAGGTAGACAGCTGAGTGGCGTAGACAGGTGAGCGGCGGTAGACAGCGTGAAGCAGGGTAGACAGGTTAGACAGTGATGGTCGTGACGCGGTAGACAGGTGAAGCCAGGTAGACAGGTGACGCGCGGGTAGACAGTGTAGACATGGTGGGCGGGCGGGGTAGACAGGTAGACAAGGCTGAGCGGGTAGACAGTGAGCGCGGTTAGCACAGGTAGAACAGGAACCTGAGCGGGTTAGACAGGTGAGGCGGTGGGCGTTAAGACGAGTAGACAGGTGAGGCGGCGTACGACGACCGGTAGACAGGTGAGGCGTTAGACAGCGTAGCGACAGCCTGAGCGGGTAGACAGGGTTGAAGCAGCTAGCCACCGGCGGGTGGAGGCGGATCCGCGTAGACAGCGCGTAGATAGCTAGCGATCGGCCTAGGACAGGTGAAAGCAGCTAGCCAGCGTGAGGCGGTAGGAGGACATCGGTAGATAGCTGGCACAGCGGCCGGTCAGCTAGACAGGTGAAGCAGCTCAGCCAGAGTGAAGGCGGGGTACGACAGCGGCGCAGCATAGCTAAGACAGCGGTCCGTGCTAGAAGGGTTGAAGCGCTAGCCAGCGGTGAGGCGAGCCAGCGCAGGGGGTAGACAGGTAGATAGCCTGAGCGGCCCCGTACGAACCACCCGTGACAGCAGCTAGCCAGGTGAGCGGGGTACGACAGGGTACGATATGCGTGAGCGATAGACAGCACGTGAGAGCAGCAGCCAGGTGAGCGTGGTATACAGGGTAGAACAGTGAAGGTGGCGTAGACAGGTTAGATAAGCTGAAGAGCGGCGGGCTGTAGACAGCTAGCAGTGTGAGCGTGGTCAGACAGGGTAGATAGCCTGAAGCAGCGTAGACAGCGCTGAACGCAGGGACTAGACAGCATAGCCAGGTCACACGCTAACGCGGCCGGGACCGCCGCGAGCCAAGGTAGACAGGTAGACAGCTGCCCAGGTAAGCAGCTAGACAGGTAGACAGCTGCCCAGGTAAGCAGCTAGTCAGGTAAACAGCTAGACAGGTAGACAGCTGCACAGGTAAGCAGCTAGTCAGCGAGTAACAGCACGTAGACATTTTTTAGGACTATTTTAGGAATTTTTGTAAGCCTGTTGCTTTAACTTGTGTTAAAATAGTTAGTAGTATTAAATAATTTAAACCATGTTTGTCTAAAAACTGTCCTATGCATTACAAACACTAATTACGAATGCATCCTGACTCAGATGCTATCTGCAGGAGGAAGAACAGACAGAGAGAAAGGAAGAGGGGAGAATGGAAGAAGGAGGGAGAGTGAGCCAGAGAGAGAGAGAGGGTGGGAGAGAAAGAGGGAGAGAAGGAGGAATAGCAAGCGGATTAGAGAGAGGGGCAGAGAGACATAGAGCGATAGATAGAGAGCCTCTCACCTGTGGCAGAAAGGCGAGTGGAGTCCATCTTTAGAATGCGCTGGTGGAAGAGCTGCGTCTGTGTCTCCGACTCAAGGTCACACAGGCTCTCCGCGAACCACTCGTAGCACGTCTGCAAACACACGTGCCGGTTACTATGGTAACCATGACAAACCATGTATATATATATATACATAAACATACATTATTTCATACTTACACACACGCATGCATGCATGCACGGATGCACAAACACCCATACATACATACACACACACATATATTATATATATATATATGCATATATATATACATAGGCACGCACACACGCATGCACGCACGCATGCACGCACACAAGCACAGTCAAGCTAATGCAGGTTGTACTTCTCTTTCTTCCGAGTGCACACGGAATTCTCGATATTGGTGTATTGTCTTCTAGAACTTGCTACCACAATGACGATTAGCGCCCATCTATCATGCCAGACAGATGACCGGTCGATTTCATGAGGGACTCGCGCACACGCACCTCTCTGTCAAAGTCGCAGGCCTGAGGGTTGTTGATGAGAGTGTCCCACAGCTCCTTGACACGGCTCCACGACAGGTAGAGGCCACCCTCTCTCAGCACAAAATGTAAGAACTGTAGGTGGCCTGCAACGTACTGTGCCACGCGCACACACACGCACGTCAAGATTACAGATGCCCAAGAACATCGCACGACAGCCTAGTCTAGTTAAAAAGTTATTCAAAAAGCTACAATTACACACTCGATTGAAACTATGAATACAATATGATCTATTGAATAGTTGAAACTTGTCTGCAAGTTAAATGTAATAGTCTATGTAACTATATGTAATGGTAAAATTATATTGTATAATTCACATTTCCAGCAGCACTTGAATGAGATTTTGTCTTATCTACGTATATTTTGAAGTGCTGTCCACAAAATATCGCCGAAACACTTTAATATGATGATGATTGTTATGATCATTTATAACTAATATAAACACCTGTTTATGCATATAACGGCCATCCACCATCTTTTCTGGACTCAGACATTCTCCTGGCACTTGCACTGCCATCTTGTGGAAACGTGACAAACTACTGATGACCATCTTGATGATTTCATGACTTTTATTCAGGTCACTGATCATGCTCTGAAATGAATTAAATAACTTCACAGATGGCCTACAGATGGCACTGTAACAACAGTACAGCAGACAATATGTGTTATTGATGTGTTATTGAAAGAAAGCCATAAAGATCAGAGAAGATGAGAAAAGAATGCTACGAGGAATCGATCTATTAAATCAAACACTACTTAAGCTACTGATATGCTCCTAATAGTATGCAAAGACCGATGTAATCTATCAGTCTATGTTAATGTAACCTTTACTAAAGCCGTCTTTCCCATTTATCTCTCGAATGATAACCCTTATATTTTTTTATGCCACACAGACTTCATACAAATCATTGCACCGGCCTCAGTGCGTTGGTTAGTACATTCTCGTAACATGACTTCCCTCGGTTGGACAAACCATCAAGTCTCCCCCCTCACCACACATCATACACCTTCGTTCCTCACACCGAAGCATTAATACAGTAATCGACTACTAGTCGGGCGTCAACAGCCGTGTAGTATTGCAGTAGTTACCTTCTCCTGTTTGTTGTAGGTCTGCTTGGCTATGCTTCGTGCGATGCTGTTAAGCTGTCTCAGGGCTGGCAGCACCCAGACACCCTGTCAACGTGCAAGCGCCATGTCGTCATCAAGCGATTAGATTAATTACACAAATTTATTAATTGAATAATTAACATTTTAATTTTTATTATTATTATTAATATTGTTATTGTTATTGTTATCAAAATTCTGCTTCTAGTTTATTGCCATCTCTTGATCAGGAGCAACTTTATACGAGCAAATTATTATCCACGCAGAAACCTGTAGAAACCAGTAAACGCGATCTTAAAGTTAGTGTTGTAACGTCAACTGATATTAAATAAATAAATAATAATGAACTTAAAACTTCAGCAGACCTTCTTGATGTCATCTATGCACTTCATGATGTAGTTTTTCTTCAACTGTTCCTTCACCGCAAACGAATCGCTCAGAATCGAAAAATGTGCGTCTAACGCGGACTCTACGAGTCTCATGGGCAGCGTGGGCAGATGTGCCAACTCCCACAATAGATCTAGCACCTAGAACATAGAATAGAATAACATAGAAACCAGCACACGTACAATACACAGGGTGGCAGCGTGGGGGGGGGGGGATGTGCCAACTCCCACAATAGATCTAGCACCTAGAACATAGAATAGAATAACATAGAAACCAGCACACGTACAATACACAGGGTGGCAGCGTGGGGAAAGAGATGTGCCAACTCCCACAGTAAATCAAGTACCTATAACATAGAAACCAGCACACGTACAATACACAGGGTGGCAGCGTGGGGGGGGGGGTGCCAACTCCCACAGTAAATCAAGTACCTATAACAGAAACCAGCCCAGCTACAATACACAGGGTGGCAGCGTGGGGGTGGGCAGATGTGCCAACTCCCACAGTCGATCATGTACCAGTAACACAGATGCTATACATACGGGGTGATCCACGTATTATGGCAATACATACCTTCACCGTCGTCCTGGTAACGCGAGCTTCCTTCCCAATTCTGCCGATGAGGTTGAGCAATTTCTCTCTGATTCGATCCGTCTCTACTTCCCAGCTCTGCGAAAACCCCGATCAGTCCGATCGTTATACAGCATGCAAGCAGACAGAGTCTGGTGCTGGTATCTACTTCCATAATAACCCAAAATCATGCATGCATATTGGCATTGTGGGATTTTATAGCATGGTGCTTCAGTCAGTATTTCGAATAGTTTCCCTGATTGCTGGGATGCTAACCGGGATTGTTTGTGTAACAGCATGTCTCTACAGCAAGGCTAACATGTCTAAGAACCCTCGTACGTTGTTACTTTCACCAATATATGCAATGACTGACATTTCCTCGTTGTTAATTAACTGTTGATGATCCCATGAAAAGCCTATTAACTGTTAACCTGTCTCTACACATTATTAAAAGCCCAATATGGCTATCTAATCCACACTGTTGTCAATTAAAAGAATAATTGACACCTTGTGCTGTTATAACAATATCAGTATATAACATTATTGCCAAATTCATATTACGTTGTCGATTTTTATAGCTGATTACTAATAAAAAGCTCAAATAATAATCATCTGCATTTGTTGCTGTTGTTACTGTTGTTCAAATGGTAACGGCTGAAGCAGGTGTAGCAGAGGTTTCTGCACCATACGTGTCAATGTGTATGCGTGTGCTGCCATCTACCTTCTGTATGAGGACAAACAGATGTTCCTGCTGCTGGGGACTAAACTTGACAGATGCACTGGCCATCAGCGAGTGTATGTTTTCTATCACCGTGCTGTGCTGGCCCGTCTGGAAACAGTTAATTAACTGGTATTAATAACAATAAATACTAATAATTAGTCATTCACTAATTAGGTCTTTGCCTTTTGAAGTGGTGCAAACGTGTCCAGCAAAGCACAACACGAATTATGATACCATTACAATAATTTGGAAAATATGAAACATAACAATTTAATAGAGGTCCGCGTGAATAATTATCAATTTTTAATATCCAATTCTTTTTTGCCGTGAAAATACTTTCAGCTAAATTTATACCTGGAGTTGCCAGATTTTAGACAGCTCTTCCAATGTTAACCTTGTTCCCAGAAATTCTACTATTCCTTTGATCTTGTCACAGTACTGTGCTTGGTCTATGTTACCTATTACAATTAATAATCAAATATTACACACCTGTAACATAAGCAAATAAGCAAACTAGACTTTTATGTTAGCACCGTAACGTTTAATTTTGAAGTTAATTCCAATCATGATCACCTTTGGAGTTATTAAACCTAATAATTACTAACACGAATGAGTAATACCTTCTAGTGCAATGGATAAAACCTTGTTGTTAACCAGCCAATCCAAGATCTTTTCTGAGTCGATGGCGTGTTTCACGGGTTTCGTGCTTGTGCTGTCGTCTATCAGCTTGGTGACCTGAAAACAAAGGAGCATTTCTACATCGCATTCGACAACAGAATCATCAACTCACATACGCAGTAAATAGTTTTTCCTTCTTTTTTTTCATTCAATCTCAAATCGGAATAATCGTGCACCTAGCGTAAGGGCCAATTGGCGTATTGTTACAAATATCACAGTTCCACAATAATAACGGGTCATTAATGCTGGTAATGATAATTAATCAAGACTAAATTCATACTGACAATGCCCCACACCCCCAGTTCATATATATATTCAATCCAGTTTAAGTGGGCAGTCAGGTGCTGCCACCTGTATTACCTGTGCAAAACTAATACCGACAACATTGCACAGCAGCAACGCTGCACATTTTCAAGCCAAACTTATAAATTTTACATCTGCGAATTCAGATGACTGACCCAACCTGTCAACATTTTCCTAAGAAACAATTCCTGACAAACATGCGCGAGAGTCGCTGCTTCTACACACGTGAGATTACCTCCTTCAAGCTGTTCATCCTTGCATTGAAGTGCGGCGACTTGAGCATACGTAGCGCCACCTCTAGGCGAAGATTGTCGATCGACTCAACTTTCTCCGGCCATAGCTGCAGCGAGAGCAGCTTGATGGCGCCGAGGAGATGTGCGACGCTCGCCACCCTCTGTAAACAAGCGAACGTCACACCAACGCGAAACCCACTCCAGCCCTTGCGTCGATTCCCTCGCTATAGTAACGCCTGCCAGCACTTTACGATTATTTACATCTTCAACCAACATCTCTGATTACTTTCTGATCAACACAGGGGTTAAATTTCAATTCGATTTGTAATTAATTTAAACTTTTATAAAAATGTTTTTTGCATTGCAAGGCAAGCATTTCCTTCAAAGGAAGGGCACAAGGCAACTCACAGTTCGCTTATTATTAGCAACACTTTTTACATGAGGAATGCTTATGGAACATGGCCAACATTAAAAACTTCACTCATACTAACAAAAAAAATACAGCACAAGAAGCAGACGAAACGCCGGCACTCACAAGGGCGCGTCAGCGGGGGAAAAAACTCATTTCTCAAAATAAAAACGTTCAATTTCTCAAAAATTTAACTCGACACGACTCGACTCGGAAAAAGCTACACCGCCACCATAGCGCAATGATCGCAGACGACTACGTGACAAGCGGTGACCGTACGCCGTGAGGTCGATCCAACTACTCCATGCGCACGCGCACGCTCATCACCGACCTTGTGCTTTAGATCCTGCTCCTGCAGCCGCTGGATGTACTGCACACACTTGTCAAGGCCCGGCGCGAGCAGAGTCTGGAACTTCTTCTGGTTGAGGTATTCCGCGCACAGGCCCAGCGGTTCCAGCAGTGCCGCCATCACCTGTGGCAAGTCCCAAACTGCCAATTAGTGTCGGGAGGTCAGAGGTCAAAGGTCAAGGTCGCATGTGGGCAGCCTCCCTACCTCCACCCTATTATACTAGTGACATTGCAAGAGAAGATATGCAAACAGTAGACATGCTCCTTTGTAGCAGAAATTGTTCAACAAAACTAAAACTTGTACCAACTACGAGTTTCGAGGTATCGACGGTTCTCAGCAGTAGAGAGAATAACCCCTGTATCAGAGCAACGGTTTAGTATACGTATTAAACGAAAATCATCGTGAGAACATTACACATGAATCAGGCTCCTCCTCTTCAAGTCTCCTCTTGATCATGTCTATGCCTCCCTGCTCGCCAAACTTGTTGATGAGATTCACCAGCAAGCCGTGCGGTTCCTGCAACGCACACATTAAACGCGCACAAAGATTAATTACATTCAGTGCATTGCGGGTCAACACACACGTGCGCATGTGAAACCAGAAATCGTGACTGAACAGCAAAAAACTGTGGTTGCTGAAACGTAGGCACTATATGTGCGAAGATTAATTATGATTGCAATTAAATTCACAGTGCATTATGAGTCGACACATAAGTGTGCACGTGAAACCAGAAATCGTGACTGAACAGCAAAAAATAAATACATTATACTCACAAAAACCATTTTGCGATCCACGTACTTTTATATCAACACAATTATGTTTCTAGTTCAATAACAATTTCAATAATACATTATTCACATATTGGGCATTTTATTATACTTTTAATAATGGGGCTATAGGTTAACATATATGGACTTTTACAACCTATAAGATATACAATAATTAATTATAAATTATAACCATGCTGTCTCGCATGTTACATGTGCTCCTGTAATAGTGTGCACACCTTGTAAGAGTTAGCAGGTGGGCTGACAGCAAACAGGTTATCTGCCCCTAACCGATCCTCCCAGTGATCCTTCTTATCCCATCGTCTGCTCTTGTTCTTGTAGTGCCATTCTGACTCATGATCGAATGCCTGAAATGTAGCAACATTGTAATACTGAAGGCCGACTGATACAGAAATCCATCAGAATAGAATGTCTAAATATTTCACTTTATAACTGGTGGAAAATGTGTTGAATTAAAGTGATACCTTTCCCATTACTTATAAAGAAATGTTAACAAAGGTTCGCATTTTATGATGCATGTTAAAAATCTGCTAGGTTTATTAAAACACTTACCACCATGATGCACATGAACTGTGATATAATTTTAAGTTTGCTTGCTATAGAAAACTCATAGAATATGTCTCATCTGAGACTGTTGAAGGTTTCACTATCGAAAAAACATGGTTAATTTTCTTAATTTAATTACTACAATCACCACCATGACGATGTCCATCTGCAATTGGCCGAAATCAGCCAAACTCTCCAACGTGAATTCTTCTTTGCGTGTGTGACAACACGTATTATCAATAACTGCGATTAACAAATTATAAGTGGCTAACATTTTCTAATTGCCATCTGTAGGTTGACAAACCAAGTTTTTACTGTATAAAAGCAAGCAAGACTGGAAGAACAACATACATAACCGTGTATATTTTGGGAAACCCACAAAGGCAACTAGGAAGGGCAGCTATGGAAATTTACTGCTGCACACACTGGCCAATTTTCAGTACCACCACAGCAAGTGAGCAGGGCAACCACGACTTTTTTGTGGAGACAGGGTGGAAACTCGAGCCATGAAGCCAAAATCGCATTTACTGTAAAGGTTTTAGATTTTGTGGGTAAAATTATTACTGAAATGCATAACAATTATTTTATATCTGGACGTTCACATGCTTTCTCAAAGGAAGGAATGTTTTAGTAAGATTAGACAGCGCAATAGCTAAATACCAATTAAATGGGTAATAAAAAAGCATGTTCCTTTCCAACTTTTACATCGGAAAAGCTTTCCACATCAAGCCCGCATCAAGCGTCAGACCAGCTTCATCAGGAAAAGCAAAAACGTACAAATCTCGAGCTGAGTCTTACACCGATCACCGCGCATCCGACCACTGCCATCGGCTGACCGCGACGTCAAAACCACGTCGACGCCGAGCGGCGACATCGCGACACACTTACGACGGCGAGCGTTTCGAGCAGGCGCACAGGAACGGGCAGGTGTTTCAAGCGTGCGGCCGCGAGGTCCGTGAAAAGCGTGAGCATGTTGTAGATGCCCTCCTGAATCTCTGGACCCCAGCGGTGCACCGCACCGGACTTCACCAGCTTCTTGAAAGCCTCGGGCATGCATCGCTCGACGAACCTCCTGCAATTCTCGTCGGCTTCCAGAAGACCTACGATCAAAGTATAGACATCAACGTCAGGAGCGACGCGTGCTGGTGTTAGGAGTCGCGTCCCGAACGAAATCAAAAGGGGAAATACACGCTGAAGGTGTGTTACGCCGTTGTTAATGCGGGGAAAGATACAAGAGAATCGCACACGTGGAATGAACATTAGCAGATTTTTCATCGATCGTGTTTGGTTAGGTTGAATTAACAAGACGGCACATAACTAGAAACAGAGCACCGAAACGTTGAGTCACTTGTAGAATGTATATTGGCAGATTTTTCATTGACTGTGTATAACTACGTTGAAACAACAAGACTAAGAGTTAGCATAGAATGAGCTGAACAAGACATGAAACTTATACGTTGTGTGGCACCACACCTTCGTTCGCACGCCGCGTGGCGGCTATAAGGCACTTTCCGAGTGACTCGTCCTTCTTGTAGGGAATGGACCAATTATCCGTGAAGACTCGACCCTCCAGCTCATAAAGGTTAGTTGCCGGAAATTCGAATGAGGCGTTTGAATCATCTTGGTCCTGATCTGTGTTTGCAGTCTGTCAAATCACAAACAAGCTATTAGCAATCAATCGAACGAGCTGTATTGAATGTAGTAACCACATCCTTCTTCAATATTGCTGCTAGTCACAGTAGACCAGTTTGCATGTATTTTTCCCATGTGCATGTCAAAAATTGGAAAAGTTTGCAAAAACTGTCTAAATTTGTCATGTGTTTCAAATGGTCAGTATTACCTCTATTCCATAACTTCGAAAGCAACTTGACATGCAGACTAAATCCATTGGATCAACATTAAATTAGTTTATGTGTGATAATAGGAATGCATTGATAGTTTATTTTGGAAAAATATATTTTTAAAATTTCTGTTTTTAATTATTTGTGTAAGGCCATGAGAATGAAAGTTTTAGATTTGCGTCCGGACATTTTTCAAATGGCATGAGGCTGTTTTTCATTATTTTTTTCTATTGAGCTGAACGAATGAACAGGGATGAGATTGGAGAGTTTAATTTTCAGCTGAAATTGAAATGAGCAAACAGAGGAGCGAGCAATGCAGCATGCTCATCCGGAATTTTTTTTAAAGAATGGTGCCATTTGGTGCATTCTAAGCTATTCTGAACACATTATAGGAGACTCTTGAATCACCTTTTCAAGTTGTCAAAAGGAACAAACGAACTATGAATAGGAAATCAGGGGGCTGAAAATGAGCAAGTTTTTTTATTAAATGTGTAGACATAATGATATTTTTCTGTTTCCACCCGTCGCTTGCATTGTTTTACTCAGACATTTTACTCAGACATAAGCTGCCTTGCTGCGACGGGATTTGAATGAAAAAACACAATGCGAATGGAACAATCAGTGCATAGTCATGCACACAACATGCACACAGCAACATGTAAACCCGGACCCCAGGCCAGGCATGGTCGTTACGTGATCAGCTACCTCAAATGTCTGCCCCTCTACTGCAGCCTGTGAACGAGGATTTTCTTTTCTGGTACACAAAAACAGATACACTGTATACTTCGCTGTCAGTCTACTGTCTACACTCTACAGTCTACAGTCAGGTGCTGTTGAGGGTATACAATTTAAATTTTTACATTGTTACCCCCCCCCCCATTTTCTCAACGAATTTAGACGTTTCACAAAATCGACCCCTGGGACTGTCAAATCCGCGGATTTCCGCGGATCCGCGGAAGAATCTCATCCCTGAATGAGAGATTTCGATCATTCCAAGATCGAAGCTTGTTGTGTTATGCGTAATTACAGCCGTTTAGTTTTACAGCTGTTTGATGATCTGGAACTTGATTTTTTGTGATGGAGAGCCTTTTTAGATAATGAATTTTTTTTAAATAATGAACTTTTTCGGCTGGAGGTTGGAGCATACGGGGGTGGTGGACGCAAATCTAAAACTTTCATTCTCATAGCCTAATGTTGTCATTAGAGAACAGACATCAATGTCGTGATTTCTATGCTTCAGTATGTTGACAACGCAGCACAACCACTGCATGATGGAAAACCACAAGACTCAAAAACTACTTCGTATTTTACAGTATCAACATTATCTTAATATAACTAGTACTGTCAGGGGTCGAAATTAGCGGTATCCCGATATCCGCGGGATAGTAGATTCTTGTGTTGGATACCAGATTTCAATGCTTGGTATCCCGCCGGGATAGTAAAAAAAAATCGTCAAAATCGGGATAGTGGTTGTTGAGTTATCAACTTTATACGGCAGCGCATTGAGGCGAGTAAGAGGGAGTCGCGACGCGATCTGATCATTAAATGTGATGTTTTATGCATTGTATCAAGCAAACCAGACAATGCGTCTAGACAATATGTCTGCAGTGTACTTGTCTGTGCATATCTGTGATCTGTTTTCATGTTTTTATTAATAATTACATTACATATTAATAATTTCAAATGCTATTATTGCATATTTAAAAATTTTGGATACCAACATTATTGAAATTACTATCCAAATGAAAGTGTCAATGACATTGGTAGCTCACCACAAAAAGGACACAAATGAGTGAGTGAGAAGAAGTCAGTTTTAATTGAGCACACAACGACGTACATTATAGAAACAAAGAGTATATATGGGAGAACTCCCCATTATATACTCTCTGATAATTATGTGTAATTTTTTATGTGAAAATAATAAATAATATTATATATATAATTATAAATAATTTATAAACCAAAATGAATCACAATTTGTGACGGTAGATGGCGCTATACCCGATATAATAATAATAATATAATAATAATAGTATAAATCATAATATGTTCATTGAGGAATTTTGCATTAAAGATTTGTCAATGTATCTTGTAAAACGAACCAGACGGGTGTGACACCACAGACTGTTTGTTATCTTGGCGTGTCTATTATATGCTATTATTAGCACACAACCCTACCTAATTTGCATAATTTTTTTTAAATATCAAAACCCCTACGCCTATATTCATTCACATACCAAAAATGAGCAAAATCCGTTGCAACCTGAACTGACTAATTGCAATTCCCATTTTTGGCAAAAAATTTCGTGGCCTCGGAAAGTAACGATCGAACTGGCGTGCTCAACAAAATAGGACGTTTAATATAGGAGCATAGCAGTAACAACTATACCCAATTTCAAACATGTGGGTCAAACGGTTCCTGAGTTATCGTTGACTGTAGCCAAATGTTGACGGACGGACGGACGACGACCCATGGCAATAGCTCAGCTTGACGATGTCAAGGTGAGCTAAAAATGGGATACCAGATTTTTTGGGGTGATACCAGATTTCAATACCTGGTATCCCGAATGGATACCATAATAAAAATCTAATTTCGACCCCTCACTGTACTGTGTACAGTCTAAACTCGCAAGCTGAAGTTCATCAAAACTCAACAACCTCATTCAACAGACAAACAGTGAAACACACCTGTCCGACCACTACTTCGTAGGCAGGTGGAAGACTGGGACCATACGTTTTAGTTCCGACATCTTTCATGTCAATGTCGTCTAACACATCGTACGACGGACTCGGATTCTCGTGCGTAAGAATGCCAACCGCCTCCCCCACGTCGTTCTTCGCAAGGCGAAGTGCACGCCGGATTTCGAGAGGATCTGGGAAACCCATATCCAGTAGCATGTTCAAGTTATCGTCCTCCATTCCACGGGTCGTACGATTTTTACATTCCAAAAAATTAACAAGATGTGGGTAATACGCGAAATAGTAGATAACAACTGTACAAAAACACAAAATTGTGACGAAAAGACGAATATCATCGCACGCAAACTACCATATTGAATTCTTCGCCACCTGGTGCCGGAATAACAAACTAAAACTTCTCGGAAATTGCTTTCGCGGACGGAACCGCGATATTTAAGATTATTTAACGCGATGATTATTTTGTATATTCATTCATACTACCAGTTAAATTTATACTAAATTTATAATGTTTTTTCCAAACAGGAATTAATGGACATTACACCGAATGTAAACATATATTAGGCCCCTACCCATCACACGTGAATGAAAACCCGTTTTTTTCCCAAATATATTTCAGCGTTATATTTTGTATGAAACAATCTTATTTCTATTAACCCTCTACATTATATCTATAATCGCATCGTCGTTTAAATTTATCATAGTCAGGTGTAGATTGGCATTCCCTCTTGCTTGACGAAGCCGGCCTGTTCTTTGCACTCGATCATCTGAGCGTGATCATTGCTCTCGAGTGCCATCTTCAAAGTATCCGAAGATCGGCCGAAAAAAATTACCTTGGCAGTCAACGGTGACCGACGCACGAGCGCCATCTTCATGTACATTAGCCTATGCGGAACCCAGGGCGCGATGCTGCAAGCAAAGCAAATAATATTAATAGGATTTTACCATGTACACGTGCCCTCGGCCTGTCTGCAACCAGTTTGAACGTATGAGCACGGCTGAATAAAATTATCTTGGCAGTCTACGGTAACCGACGCACGAGCCCCGTCTTCATGTACATTAGCCTATGCGGAACCCAGGGCGCGATACTGAGAGCAATGCCAATGTTATAGATCGGATTTTAC